CTGGGATACTCGTTCAAACAATACTTCCAAACCAAGCCACTCAGTTGATGCTCACACTGCTGAAGTGAACTGCCTATCTTTCAATCCTTATAGTGAGTTCATTCTGGCCACAGGATCAGCTGACAAGGTCAGTTTGGTTTATTTTAAGAAAAAAACATTGGGTAAATTTCTTTTGCTTCCTTTGAATGCACAGAGCTCTTTCAATTGCAGGTTTTCTTCTCATAAAAAAATTATTGACTGCACTTGCTTTTCTTTTTGTACATAGACTGTTGCCTTGTGGGATCTGAGAAATCTGAAACTTAAGTTGCATTCCTTTGAGTCACATAAGGATGAAATATTCCAGGTAAGAGAAACTAATGCTACGTTTGTTTGTTTAAGGAAAACCTGGATGTGTGAGTAGGCACACTTGTGCCTTATCCCCTTACTATCAGTAATAGAAATCTTCTACGTATCTATGATAATCTCTGTAGGAATTGGGATTGTTATTTCTATACTTCCTCAAACTGGTCTTTGGCCACTCTTGAGGTATTAAGAAAATCGGTGCCCGATAATTGTATTCATGTTCCTGACATTTGTCTCTTCCCTTATTTCCAGAACTTGCCATGTCTGTTGATTTTGCAGTTGAAGCCAAAAGTACTAGCTCCATGTTTTCTGCCTCATCAGTTTAAGCTCCTTTCTTAACATGCAAAAAGCTCTCTGACTCAATTCAAGAAATGTGGCACTATGTTCAATGCTTATTGCCAGGACACTGAGGAATATGTTATATATAGTCTTTGCCATCAGAGAGCTTACAGGGGTGCCTGGGTGGCTCAGTCGTTAAGTATCTACCTTCGGCTCAGGTCATGATCCCAGGGTCCTGGGATCGAGCCCCGCATCGGGCTCCCTGCTCCGCGGGAAGCCTGCTTCTCCCTCTCCCACTCCCCCTGCTTGTGTTCCCTCTCTAGCTGTGTCTCTCTCTGTCAAATAAATAAATAAAATCTTTAAAAAAAAAAGCTTACAGTTTTATAGCAAGGAAAGGCCCATTTAGATTTACCTAACAGAAGATTGTTAAGTGTTAAGAACTAAAGGGTGGGGGCGCTTGCAGGTGGGTGGCTCAGTCAGTTAAGGGTCTGCCTTTGGCTCAGGTCATTCATGATTCCGAGGTCCTGGGATTGAGCCCCCCATTGGGCTCCTTACTCAGCAAGGAGTCTGCTTCTCCCTCTGCCCCTCCCCCCATCTTGTGCGTGCGCGCTCTCTCTCTCTCTCTCTCTCTCTCTCTCTCTCTCAAAATCTAAAAAATGGGAGGGGGGGCACCTGGGTGGCTCAGTTGGTTAAGTGCCTTCTGCCCGGGTCATGATTCCGAGGTCCTGGGATTGAGCCCCCCATTGGGCTCCTTACTCAGCAAGGAGTCTGCTTCTCCCTCTGCCCCTCCCCCCATCTTGTGCGTGCGCGCTCTCTCTCTCTCTCTCTCTCTCTCTCTCTCTCTCAAAATCTAAAAAATGGGAGGGGGGGCACCTGGGTGGCTTAGTCTGTTAAGTGGCTGCCTTCGGCTCAGATCATGGTCCCAGGGTCCTGGGATCAAATCCCGCTTCTCCCTCTGCCTGCCGCTCCTCCTACTTGTGCGCTCTACTCTCTCTCTCTCTCTCTCTGTCAAATAAATAAATATATCTTAAGAAAAAAAAAGAAGGGTGGTCAAAGTTAATTTTGGTGTGTGAAAGTGGCCTCTGAATTAGGCTCTAGGTGAGCCATACTCCTGTGCACTTGGTCTCACTTAACCTTACTTTCTACTCTTAGGCTGCTCCAGTGAACATTTTGTCTTTATCCTCTTTGTCCTTGCCTGTAATGGTGCTCTTGCCTGGACAGTATCTAAATTCTTCCCTAAGTATTGGTCACTGTGCCCTTTTATCTGTACATGAAGCTAGGACTTCCTTATCGAACAGTGCAACAGTGTGTGACTGTTGTACGTGTGGTAGCTAACTTCAATAAAATCATTATTGTAAGGGGTCAGAGTTTCTTTGTTTTAAATTTTTATCAGTTTTAATGTGTAATACTGAATTTATAATAAGTACTTGAGAAAATAGATACTGTATGTGTGTGTTCCGTACTTTAGTTCTGAGGTTAGAATTGGATTACATTTGGCCAGAAGCCAGAATTAGTAAAACTAGATTAAGATCAGATCTTCAAAAATATAAGAGGCACCTGAGTGACTCAGTAGCTGGAACATGTGACTCTTGATCTCAGGGTCATGAGTTCCAGCCCCACATCGGGTGTAGAGTTTACTTAAAAATTAAAAATCATGTGTGTGTGTGTGTGTGTGTGTGTGTAGGATGAAATAGTTTACTTAAAAATCTTTATTTTTTTAAGATTTTGTTCATTTATTTGAAAGAGAGCACCAGCAAGAGAGCAGGAGAGGGAGAAGCAGACTCCCTGCAGAGCAGGGAGCCCGATGTGGGGCTCAATCCCAGGACCCTGAGATCATGACCTGAGTTGAAGGCAGCCGTTTAACCAACTGAGCCACCCAGGCGCCCCTAAAAATCTTTAACACACACACACAGATTAGATAGCTAGCTAGCTAGATAGATAGATAGACAGGTGATAGATAATGAAGTAGAACAAAAGCTGACATCCTGGGTTTAGTGATAGGTTATCTTCATACAAGAAACCATCTTATCTACCTGTCATGGTTTTTTTGTGTTTTTTGGGGTTTGGGTTTTTTTTTTTCATGTGGGGGAGAAGGTTTGGGTTTTTTTGTTTTGTTTTTTTTTGTTTATTTATTTTTTAAGTAATCCCTACATCCAAACTGGGGCTGGAACTTAGAACCCTGAGATCAAGAGTTGCATGATCCAACCAACTGAGCCATCCAGACACCCCCTCCAGCTGTCAGTTTTAATTATAATGTCGAAAATACTTTGATTTCGGGCGCCTGGGTGGCTCAGATGGTTAAGCGTCTGCCTTCGGCTCAGGTCATGATCCCGGGGTCCTGGGATCGAGTCCCGCATCGGGCTCCCTGCTCCTTGGGAGCCTGCTTCTCCCTCTGCTTCTCTCTCTCTCTCCCTCTCTCTCTCTCTCATGAATAAATAAAATCTTTAAAAGAAAAATAAAATAAAAAAATAAAATACTTTGATTTCTTTTTTATTTATGAAATTTTTTAACTGTTAAATATAATTTAGGTATTTTCCCCTTAATTTTCTAAGTAACAGCTTTTCTGTTTCCTTCATTCTTACTGTAGGTTCAGTGGTCGCCTCACAATGAGACTATTTTGGCTTCCAGTGGTACTGATCGCAGACTGAATGTCTGGGATTTAAGGTAAGTCTTGTATCAGTTACTCTTTGTGGAGTTATTTTCTTTATTTATAGTTTTCCAAATTAGTTACTTGGGATAAATCTGTTTTAACTTTATTAAAAATCTTTTTGTGCTAGTAAAATTGGAGAGGAACAATCCCCAGAAGATGCAGAAGATGGGCCACCAGAATTGTTGGTATGTTCTGCACACTGAGTAGTATTAATATAGTCTGTTGTTTATTGCCCTCTGCTTTTCATATCTTTGTTTTCCTCCCTCTTCCAGTTTATTCATGGTGGTCACACTGCCAAGATATCTGATTTCTCCTGGAATCCCAATGAACCTTGGGTGATTTGTTCTGTATCAGAAGACAATATCATGCAAGTGTGGCAAATGGTAAGTGTTGTCATTTATTCGGACATTAGGTAATAAGATGTAGTATCACTTCATATTTATAGACTTTATGAATACAACTGGTATCTCTGGTTAGTTTACTCCCAAGTATGACTTTAGCACTTGCTGCACATTATCATTTTCAAGTGCCTGCTTATTACCTTTATCTGCTTATCCCACTGGTATCTCAAACTTCTTTCTCCCTTCTTATTCCCGTTTTCTCCTGATTTTCCTGTTTCCTCTATGGCTCCAGTGTCATCACACCCCCCACCCAGCTCAACCAACTTGAAAACTCAAGAGTTCATTATCTATTCACCTCTAGGTCTGGTTTACTTACCAGATTTTACGTTGTCTATCTGCACTGTTTCTCATACCTGTGCTAATCTTATAGATAGCACACTTAGGTACCCGGCTTTCCTGTTTCTACTCCACACCCTGGTTTTTTGGTCAGCTTCTCATTACTACTTGCTAGGCTGTTGCAGTAGCCTCTTTGCTGGCCTCCTGCTTTCCCTGCTTTACTAGCAGTTGAATCTTTGGGAATGGTCATTGCTTTGAAGTGGCTTGGAGCTCTGAACATGCCTAGCACAGTTTCTACCGCAGTGGCACAGCATCAGATACTGCCATTTCTCCATGAAATATTACTAGATTCCAAAAACATCCCTGTTTTTAATATCCCAGTTGGGAAGTGATTACCCTTTTTTGAACTTCCAGAGTGCTTGGAATTTATAATAAAGATAACTGTAATGTCTAATATATAGCAATATAAGAAACACTTGCCTTTTGGAGATGGATGGTGGTGACAGGTGCACACAAGGTGAATGGACTTAATGCCACTGAACTCTGTATACTTAAAAATGGTTAAAATGGCGATTTTATATGTATTTTACCACAAATTTTTTTTTAATTGCGTAACTTTTAAATGATGGTAGCCCGATTAATGAAAAGATTTGGAAAAAAGATTTTGTTGTTTTAGGATAGATCTAGAGGCAGGAATAAGCTCCAGGGGAAAGGTTTTGGCTCAACATGAGGAAAAATATTTTAATAACCAAAACTTTCTTGGGGTGCCTGGGTGGCTCAGTTGGTTGAGCGTCTGCCTTTGGTTTAGCAGGGAGCCTGCTTCTCCCTCTCCCTCTGCTGCTCCCCCTGCTTGTGCGTGCACTTGCTCGCTCGCTCTCAAATAGAAAATCTTTAAAACAGAACTTAAAGAATAGCACTATTAGGGCACCTGGGTGGCTCAGTTGGTTAAGCGACTGCCTTCGGCTCAGGTCATGACCCTGGAGTCCTAGGATCGAGTCCCACATCGGGCTCCCTGCTCAGCAGGGAGTCTGCTTCTCCCTCTGACTCTCCCCCTCTCGTGCTCTCTCTCTCATTCTCTCAAATAAATAAAATCTTAAAAAAAAAAAAGAATAGCGCTATTAATCAAAGTTAAAGAAATAAAATGAAAAAGATGAGAGTTTTTGTGGTCTATGAGATTAACAAATTATATGGTATATCCATACTTTGGAATATCATGTATCAAAAATATGCTTAGTTTTTATAAGATATGACATGAAGTAGGGAAAAAGTGGATTGTAGAACAATATAATCCCTCATACTAAAATTATTGTAGCTCGAGTGCCTGGGAAAAAAGTAAAATAAAATTATTGTAGCTAGTCTTGAATTTAATTACATGTAACTGTTTAGACGCTTGTTTGCCATAATGTGGGTGGTATATTTAGGCAGTTTTTGGATTTCTTCTTTATACATTTCAGTATTATAATTTGTAAAAATTATGTATTACATGTGTAAACAGAAGATCTACCTTACCTTTTCCTTGTAATACGCCCACGTATAATATAAAAAGTTGAGAGTTCTGACAGGAAAGTGAAATGTGCTGCCTTGGATAGCCTGTCAATTAAAGATAGTTTAATAGTTGCCACGGGAATGTTCTAGGAGATTGAACTGTATCACCTTCGGGCCAGGTTGTTCCTTTACTCAGTTTTTTTAGAATTGTGGTAAAAGAAAAAAAAGAACCGTAAAACAAGTAAATATTTTGTCTTTGTCCAAGTTCCTAAACCCTTGGGGTTGTCTGAGTGGTAGAAGTCTCTGTTGCTGTTTATAAGGAGCCCCTTTTGGCCACACCTGAGTTTAGGCTAAGGAGGTAACTTAGGGCCCCTGGCAAGCCTCAGAATGGGGCTGGTCTCCCAAAAGACCAAATAAGTGATTGGAGAACTTTTCAGTCCCTCCCACCCACAGGCAGAGGGGATTGAGCTCTGTAAAACTGTTGAAAAGGCTCTATGTACCCTCTTGATTCGATGAGCTTCTGGGTTCTTGAATATATTGATGCTGTCCAGAGAAGACCTAGAAGCTTTGCATTCCCTTCTCACCTTGCCCAGTGCTTCACTGCCATTTGGCTTTTCCTGAGTTGTAAGCTGTATAGTAAACTGCTGACAGTAAGCAAGGCAGCGTGTTCATGATTCCAGGAGTCACTCCAGCAAACTATCAAATCTAAGGTGGCGGGGTTGGTGGGGGGTGGGGGATGGCTTGTGGAAACTCCTGAGTTGATAGCCAAGTTGGACAGAAGTGCATGGGTAGTCTAGGCACTCAGGGCTTGACACTGGCCTCTGAAGTGAGGATCATAGTCTTGTGGGACTAGGCCCTTAAACCTATGGAGTCTGACACTACTCTCAGGTGCACTTAGTGTCAGGATTGAATTGAATTGCTAGACACCCAGTTGGGTGAAAAAGACACTATATATTTGTCGTCAGAAACATTACACAATTGTATATTTTCCTATTCCTGCAATCAGATTACAGGCTCTTTAAAGAGAAGACTATCCCATCCTTTGCAGCACATAGCCTAGTGATTTGTGCATAGTAGATGCTAAGTAAGAACAGTAAACTTTGCCCAAATGAAAGTGTTTTCTGTATTTAAGATTATGCCTTTCGGGTGCCTGGGTGCCTCAATCACTGGGCGTCTGCCTTCGGCTTAGGTCATGATCCCAGGACCCTGGGATCGAGCCCCGCATCGGGCTCCCTGCTCTGCGGGGAGCCTGCTTCTCCCTCTCCCCCTGCCCCTGCTTGTGTTCCCACTCTCGCTGTCTCTCTCTCTGTCGAATAAATAATAAAATCTTAAAAAAAAATTATGCCTTTGGATGCAAGTTTTTCATCAAGTAATAGAAGTAGAGTTGATTTTATGCTAAAGCAGTTTTCTTTTAAAAATATTTATAAATCGAGTTTTGAAACCCATGGTTTGAGGGTGGGCTCTTAATGAAGACTTTCTAATTTATTTATTTTTTTACTATAATCACAGAATTATACAACCATCTTCACAGTAATTTACCCCTCAGAAAAACCCCCTACCCATTAAGCATCACTCCCCATTTTCCTCCAGTCCTCCCAGCATTAGGCAACCACCAGTCTACTTTATGGATTTGTCTGTTCTTGACATTTAATATAAATTAAAAACGCAATATGTGAGTAGCTTTTTTTTATTGCCAGATAACATTTTTATTTATTCATTGGTCATTTAATGGACATTTGTGTTGTTTTTACTTTTTGAGTCTTGTGAATAATGTCCAGTAGAAGGACTCCTGAAGGTTGAGTATCAAGACAAATAGTAACCGTACTTCAGTGTTGTGGGAATGTCCTGATCTAGTTGGCCTGTAGGCCAGCTGCCTGTTTTTGTTGGGACACAGCCATTCATGCCCATTCATTTTCAGATGGTCCCTGGCTGCTTGCATGCAGCAACTTCAGAGTTGAATAGTTGCTACAGAGACTGTGGCTCACAGTCTGTCTCCCTGGCCTAGTCTGTTTTTGAAACTTTAACTTCAAGAAGTATCCTTCATGTTTACTAAATACCTTTTTCTCTGTTTCTTGTTTTTGGGCAGGCAGAGAACATTTATAATGATGAAGATCCTGAAGGAAGCGTGGATCCAGAAGGACAAGGGTCCTAGATATGTCTGCACTTCTTGTGATTTTAGACTCCCCTTTTTTTTCCTCTCAACCCTGAGATTGATTTAACACTGGTTTTGAGACACAGACTTTGTTTGGCTATCCCTCTATGATAGGTACCATCAACAATGTTATTAGCCCAAACAGAGGGTGTTTTCTAAATATTAACTGGGGGACTTGATTCAGTAAAGCCACAGACTTAATATTTAAATTTTCTTTAGGAATTTTCTAGTAACAAAGGTCTCAAGTAGCCACAGAAAGGGGAATATTATGTGTGGTTATTTTTCTTCTTAGGCTATATCCCCAAGTTTTTCAGACTCCTTTAAGTAAAGGCTAAAGTAAGGAAGGAGTAGAGCCAAGTGAGGTAGGTGTCTGAGCCATGAAGTATAAATACCACAAGATGTCGTTTTTATTCAGGAAATGGGGGAGATTCAAGTCATAAATTCCTATTCTAAAATTTTCCCACCTGACTTTCCAGGATGCACATTTTCCTATGTAGACCAGTCTCCTCTCAGTTTCTTCAGTTAAGTCAAAACTATGTGTTCCTCTTTCCCCCATATATTTTTGCTTGTTAGTGTATTTCTTGAGCTGTTTTCATATTTCTTTCCTTTCTGTGAAATGGTTTTTTAAAAAACTTGGGACCACCAAGTTGTAAAGATGTATGTTTTTACCTGACAGTTATACCACAGGTAGACTGTCCAGTTGAGTTGAGAAGAGTGAATTGATAGCTTGTATTTGTTTTTAAAATTAAATTAATCCTGGATAAAAAAAAAAAAAATAGCTACCAATATGTTCTTTGTCGAACATTTAATGTTTCAGTTTCATGTAACAGTAGGTCTCCCCAAATAATGTTCTACTTGTGCATTCATATTGTTACAACTACTATAAAATTCTTATTAAAAAATAGTTACAGGGGTGCCTGGGTGGCTCAGTCAGTTAAATGTCTGCCTTCAGCTCAGGTCATGATCCCAGGGTCCTGGGCTCAAGCCCCATGTCAGGGTCTCTGCTCAGCGGGGAGCCTGTTTCTCCCACTCTCTCTGCCTCTCATTCCCCCTGCTTATGCTCTCTCTCTCTCTGCCAAATAAAAAATAAAGTCTTTAAAAAAAAATAGTTACATAGTTCATGGTAATTACTATAGGAATAAAATCTAGATAAATGGATATGGATGTGGTGTAGCTACAGTTACAGGATGGCTATACATAATCATTGTCTAATATTTGTTATTTAAATGACATTGAACTGAGAATGTGAAAACACATGTTCTAATGTCCAAACTAACTCCATGTCCCTTAGGGAAAACCACTCTCTCTTCTTTATTTTCTGTTCCTTCACAAAATCCATAAGGTACTCAACCATTCTTTAAAATATGTATTCCCATATATAAATCATGTTTCCTTATACAATGTCTTTATTCTATTTTTAATTATCTTTAAAGGTAAATAGTTGAACCAGATGATCTATAGAAATTTTTCTCGGTCTAATTATTATTTCTTATTTCATTGGGTGGGGGATGATTAGATTAGCTGGTTAGATCAATTTAGCAATTATTCACTGAGGCCCCAAAATAGATGATTTTGTTTGTTATAGGAAATACTAAGAAGGGCAACCTGGATGGATCAGTTGGTTAAGCCCCGGACTCTTGATTTCACCGAGGTCATGATCTCAGTGTCCTGAGACTGAGCCTAGTTGGCTCTGCACTCAGCAGGGAGTCTGCTTCTCTCTCTTTCCCTCTCCCTCTGCCCCTCCCCCTGCTCGTGCACTCTCTATCTCTTTAAAAATACGTAAATACATCTTTTTAAAAAAATACTAAAAAAAATAACAAAAATATCTCCTGACTTCAATGGGCTCTACTTCTTTATTCTGAGAGAATAGGACGAGATTGGAATCTTGAAAGACTTTGGCAAAGCCGGGTTCTGCCCTCAGTACTGTCAAAGAGAAGTTTATCACCTTGGTAAAGTCACTTCCTTTTCTGGGATCTTAGTGTTCTAATTTGCAAAATGGAAATGGTAATGCCTTACTCAAGATCATTTTTCAAGTGTCTGGCACAGTAATTGGTACGAAGCAGTAACTCAGTCCTGTTCACTACATTACAAATCATGGCCACAGTGGTGATACAGATACTCAACCAATGCTTCAGAAACTGAAAAAAACAAACAGAAAAAGGAAACATTTATATCTGACTAAGTTAAAGAAAGATCTGTCTTAAATTATTCAGAGTTCAGCAGACAGACAAAGGACAGTGGGCCCTTTGGGCCCCATTGTATACAGAAGTGTGAAAGGCTAGGAAGCCGAGGGACTGTTTGAGGGGGTGGGGATGATACCAGGTAAGGTGAATTTTGGGCATTTATCTGTTAAGTAATAGACACATCACAGATTTTTAAGCAGGACAGTGACATAATCTAAATGCATTTGAATTTATTTTCACAGTGGCACTGAGATCATTTGGAAGTGCTGGAATAGAAGGCAACTGAAATAATAATCTAGACCAGAGAGGATAATTGCTTTAACCATGGGGATAGCATTCAGAATAAATAAACGGTGACACAGGCACAGAGAGTCAGAACACAATAATTTTTGTCCTTGATCACTTTTCCACCTTAAAAACCGCATAGTCTAGTACTATAATTACCCTCCCATAGTATTCCAAGCTCCCCTCACATACTCTTATTTTTTGCCTTGTACATCTTACTAAAGCCCAATCTAAATTCAATCCAGCAATATTTTTTTTCCCAATTCTGTATGGAGAATATAGAATAAAAAGGAATATCTGGGTTCAAGGGAACATTTTGGGCCAAAGCTAAAAATTTATAATATTGCATGTAGAGTTGGTAGTTCATTAGAAGAGGGAAAAAAATACTTCTTCAGATCTGTATTTCTTCCTCAGATCTATATTTCTAATTTCTTGCCAGGAATCACTATTGACTGTCCCACAGACATATTCTATTCAATGTGACTTAAAAGGAACTAATTATCTTTTCTCCCAATACATAATTTCTCTTGTTTAGCCCTTGCCAATGATGTATCCATCCACCTAACCTAAGTTGAAAGCAATGGAGTTACCTTCAAAGTATAGCTTTCACATGCAATTTGATGCCCCTTATTGATATAAGGCCAGAGAAAAGGAAATGACTCAGGTCTACTATTTGGGAAAGCTTAAGAAAGAGGGAAAGAGGAGAATAATTTTGTAGCTGAGTATTTGGCTCAAATCCTTCCCCAGTACTATATCAGTAGTATCTTTGATTAGTAGTAATTTCTCACCTAGAAGTTCCTTTCCATTGTCCTCAATCCCATTTACCATTAGAAAGTGTACAGCAGTGTACTATGTATTCTGGTTTGTTTACTTATGTTTTTGTTTTGTATAATAATACTATGAGTTATATGTACATTCCTCTAAAGGGAATCATATCCATAGACCAAACAAAAAAAAACTGAAGCTAATGTAAATGTTTATGATTTTTGTCTAACTCAGTTATATTCCTTGATATTTATTTGCTAATTTACCTTTGGGGAAAAATACATTGGTATATTTCCCTCAGTATTAGATGATCAAATATGCATAATTAGCTTTGCCATGAATACAAATAGTAATTTATTTTCCTCATATTTTTGGTTTACGGTCAATTGAAATTGAGCTATATTTGCATGGGTAAATGTTTTGCTGGTATTTTTTCTTATTCTGATTTATTAATTCTAGTAATGTTTATTGAGCATATACGATATGCCATATTTAATTTTTTTCTCATTTAAACGAGCTTGATCACATATAAATAACCTAAAATAATACACTTTAAAAATAATTTGAAAAGGCTTTTCTAGTTGGAAACAACAGCAACAACAGCTATATACTGAGAAGGTTAATAATGAACGAGGCAATATAGATCCAGTATGAAAAGCCAAAATATACCAACTTAGGTCTTCATTTTTAATATATTTGCTTTCCCAATTAGCCAGTTCTATGAAGCTAATATAAAATCAAGTTAATTTAGTTATCTTTTCGCAGTACATGAATGACAAAATATTTCCTAATTAAATCACATTCTTAGCAAGGATAGGCACCCTCAATATATTCATTTATGGTTTTCACGGTTCCAGTAAGAAAGTATATATAATCTATAATTAGTTTAATATTTTATAAAGCATTTATAACAAGTCTAGTTGAGGACATTAAATTTGACCATATCATACTTAATGCAAGATGGCACTCATTGGCAATTTTTTAAATTTAAAATGACTTCTTTCTGATAAGTTAATCTTTAGTAATTAATTAATGTTTTGGTTTTCCAGTTCTAAGTTCAACATGTAAATTTATGTCTTCTATGTTATACTAGCACAAAACATTTCTGGAGTTTCTCACTGAACATTACTAAATATTCAATTTTGTGCTAATGTTTTTCTTTTGACTTAAGAGAATTGATAACTCAGACATATTTGTTTTAAAAAAGAAAAAAATGAGGGGCACCTGGGTTAAGAATCTGCCTTCAGCTCGGGTCACGATCCCAGGGTGCTGGGATCTAGCCCAGCGTCGGGCTCCCTGCTCAGCGGGGAGCCTGCTTCTCCCTCTCCCCCCACCCCTGCTTGTTCTCTCTCCCTCTCTCTTGTCAAAAAATTAATAAAATCTTAAAAAATAAATAAATAAATAAATAAATGAACAATTTGTAATCTAAGTTATACTAATGAAGGGAATTGCAGACCTAAAATTTGAAGCAGTTTCTCTACTCTTTTCTATTAATACTTACATTGAATTCTTCTTTAAATATGTATTCTACTATATGTGCACTTTAAAGTCTCATAGTATTTCATTGTGCGCTCATATATTCAAATAACTTCATTTATGATTAAATACTTTATTATAATTTTAAAGCGTTCTGTCTTTGAATATGTATCTTAGGTTTAAAATTCTTAGGTGTGAAATCTTTGTAGTTCTTGTGTATCTCTTAAAAAAAAAGCTTCTATATAGAAGCTTTAGCTATATAAAGTGTAAAGTAATAACAATGGGAATAATGATAATGTAGCTTTCAAAACAATCATCTCTAAAAAGGCAAACTTTATTGAGAGATAGAAATATGATGTTAGCGTATTTAATCTGCTAATTGTGTCATCTTGAACACATGCCCAACTGTAGTGATAAAAGATCAAACCAAGCTTCATGCTATTGCTTGGATCCAGTTATAAGGGATATTCCACCCTGAGCAGGGTGGCATTATATGCACCGTCTTATTTAAAATCTTGCCATTTGGCTCCTAAGCCCTGATGCAGAATTCCAACCAAATAGTGAGCAGGAATGATGCCAACCTAACAGATGAGCAAAAGGTACCAAAGCCAAGAGTCCATGTTCACATATCAAATGTGTTTACTTAGGGCAGGATTCCCAGTTATAAATCTTCAAACATGTTCAGAAAATTGTGCCAACATGAGGAGGTTGCCCTGCCTTTAATCCATCTAGAGCAAAGATTAACCTTAAATTTATTTTTAGAGATGCACCTTAGCCACAAAGGTTTACCTTTTTAAGCTAGAGAAAGAATTGGTAATTCTGGATTTATACATTTAATTGTTCAATCCTTACTCTGTTGTTCATCCAGCGGTTTATTGTAGTTACAATAATTTAAATACTATTAATTCAAAAATTTATATTGATTGCATTCATTCATGCTAAATTCTTATATTTTTTTAACTCTTGTTTATTAATGATAAATTGGTAGAACATAGAGGGTGGATTTTTAAAGGAGATGATTGCCGATTTCCTTAATATCGCAATAATATTTACCAAAAGCT